AAATTCACAATCATTGCCGTAGACCCTCCGGGTTGGGGCAGATCCAGACCCCCTGTCAGGGCGTATAACAAAGATTTATATAGTAATGATGTGGACTGTTACTATAAATTAATGAAAGTATGAACAATTAAAAATTAATTCAAATGAGACAGTAAACATTTGATTTGTATGCTTAGCATTTAGGATACGACAAGTTTCACATAATCGGTTGGTCTGATGGCGCCATAGCCGGGGCCTGGATGGCCGCCACACATCCCGATGCTGTCGACAGAATGGCTGTCAACGGGATTCTGTGGTATTTGTATCCGAAGACATTATATGTGTTGAAATCGACGCGTAATGTCGAGGGATGGGGTAAAGATAGACTCGAGTGCTGTATGAGAGCCTATGATAGTAAAGAGGATCTACAGAAACTATGGGACAGACACCTTAAATTTTGTGATTATTTTAACGCTTATTTCCCTCAAGATGGTAAAGTCAGTGATTACGTTAAGATCACATGTCCAATGTTAATATTGCACGGGGACAGGGTATGTTTGGGATTGAAGTGCAATTTTAATAAGCATTTAGCAAGTTAATGGCAATTTTTAATGATACAAAATATTGATTATTATTTAGGACCCGATGAGTACGATAGAGCACCCGGAGGCTTACATGAAGCACATAAAGTCGGCAAAACTACACCGATTCCCAAATGGCAACCATGACTTACACCAAAGATATTCGGCTTCATATAAAAAACTTGTTGAACAATTTCTGCTCAATTGAAACATCAGTTTTAATAGCTTTCAAAAAGCCATTAAATATTAATAATTATATTTTATTTTAGGTAAAAATAAAAGTTTAATGTCTGAATAAAATTTATTTGCTTTTAGCATTTGTCGTATTGAATTGGTTTTCAGGAAATTTTTTTATTAAATATGATTTCATTTGATATTCAATTTTATAAAAGGAAATCTAAAGAGAAAATATTTGTTTTACACAATAAAAAGTTAACGACCCTTTGCTTAAGTGTTTCCTTTAGGATTACACTTTTTATGATTTAGATCTCAATTGTGAGTTTTATTGCGTTAATATAAAAAATTAATTTTAGTTTAAAAAGCAAATCAAGATGTTATAAATATATTCTTTGTGTATTTAAGTAAATTTTGCAATTTAATTAAAAATATAGTATACGTATTTTTATAATGCTATTTAATCCTAAATTAGTTTGATTTAGGTAAGGTTAAAGTAAATAATATTTTAAAATCTAAATTGTACACAATTCACCTCATACGATTTAAACAAAAAAGTCAGCACTTCATTCATTAGTTATCGGTAACCTGTTATTAAATTTGTACTAAAATAGTTTAATTTTTATTTTACCACACAACTACTGTATACATATTTTAAAAACAAAAATTCAATATTCATTGTGAAATTTATAGTTAAATACATTTATAAATTTGGATAGTAGTATTTAAATATTGTATTGGGAAATTATAGTAATGTGTTGTAGTAATTAAATAATTTATATAATTTACATAAAAATAATTAGTACAGATAACTTAATAAAATCTTACCTAAATATAAGTTTCACAATCATTGCAAATTACTTATGCAAACAAATTAGTTATAAATAAAAAATACTACTGAAATTAATAAATTAAGGTTTTATTAATTGTAATCTAATTGAAATATAAATTAAAAATAAAATTAATTAGATTTCTAGCTTGACACATATGGCACTACTAATGAGCAAGCATTTATTAACTTTAAGAGGATTTTAAATATAAATCTTATAATACCGTTATTAACAAATTTTTTATTAGTTAGAAATTATTTTTTCTATTTCATTGAATAGAGAGAATTAATTATCTAATTTATTATTTTATGAATTCAAATGTGCACGCTAGTCATCCCCAATCAAGAGGACTGACATATATTTGGACTGCCTTTTAAAGTTTCAACACTACTTATAAGTATTGTTAAATTGTCTATAATTTAAATGAGAAAAACAAGAACAAGAAAATAAAAATACGGCAATTTTGGCCAAACCTCCTGCCAATGTATGCCGTTATTGTGAACACTTATTATTTGGTTAAGACTTGGATTTCTCGTTTGATTACACACTCTAATAGTGAATTGAATAGACTTCGACCCCCTTTGGTACACAATTATGTATATTTTGTAACAAATGATTGGTTAGAATATATTCTACAGTTATAATTAATACTTTGCAAGGTTTTAAATACAAGACAAAACTATTTGAAATATAGCAGTCAACTGAAAATCAGCGATAAATTTAGTTTTCAAGTATAGACTTATTATATATTAAGTAAAGTATACTATAGTTAGATATATTAACTTAATGTAAATATCAATTATGGACGACCGAGACGCTAATAGTGGCAAAGTGGACATAAATGGTTATCCCATTTGGTACGAAAGGTTTGGTACTGGACCTAAGCCTATCCTTCTTATTCCGGGTGCTATCGGTGCGTGATTTTTGATAATTGCTATCATTAGGAGTCATAACTTTGAAGATTGTGATAAAAAATAATATAAATCTAATTAATTATGATTTGATAATAAGGGACGGGAAGGACTGATTACTGGGAGCAACTGGAGGGCGACGATGCGTTGGACACGAATCGGTTTACATTGATAGCCGTGGAGTCCCCGGGTTGGGGTCGATCTGCCCCACCCGCCCGACGCTTTGATATGAATATGTACAACAGGGATGCTGAATGCTACTATCAATTGATGCAGGTATTTATTAGTTATTAACTTTTATAATTAACATGGTAATAACTGGTTAAAATGAATTTATTAAAATTATTATTAGAATTAATTGATTAAAAGCAAAATTTTTAGTAATTGCAGAATAAATTTAAATAATATTACAGTAAATTATAACAAAATTAATTCTCATGCAATAATATGAAAGCACCTTGGATATGAAAAGTTTTCCGTGATTGCGTGGTCCGATGGTGCCAAAGGTGCCCTAACCCTAGCCATCAAATACTCTAATTCAGTGAATGCGATGGTATTAAGCGGTGCCTCAATATGTGGGTCCAAAGAAGCCGTCAGATTCCTCAACACTATCGTAAAGGTCGACAGTTGGGGTCCGGGAAGACTGGACTCCTATCTCAGGAG